GGAAGATTAAAACAGGAGGTGTAGTGGATGTTGCAGTATGTCTTGGTGATCTGTACTCAGGCAAAAGGATTGCCCACTCGGGCAAACCCCAGTGAGTTTCTGGAGACTTTGAAACAGCCAGTGCAAACAGCAGTATCTATTCAGAAATGCTGTGATAATCATAGCACTTCTGATGGCATCCCTGGAGAGCTTGAAGAGTGAGACCATGCTGCCACTGCAAACAGATAGCCCCTAACTCCCAGTTCTTGTTGGAGTTGAAGGCCTTCAACCTTATTAAAATTTAAAAAAAAAAAAAAAAAATCAGAAAATCTTCAAATGCTCATGAGTAGCTTTCTGCCTCCCTGTCAGGAGTGTCTCATCCTCCCCCCCCTCCCCCAAAAAGTGATGTGCTCCCTGGGCTGCTGTGCATCAAGACAACCCTCGCATTTTTATTTGCTGGAAGGGCAGTTTATGTGGATCTAATGGTTTTCCTAGAGGAGATTTGCAAGTGTTACTAATGATCTTAGCTAGGAAATGAGGAAGGAGAAGGTTAGGGCCACAAGGAAATCAAAGGAAACCAAATTACATCAAGTCCAATTAAATTGTTTCTATAAATTATCAGAGCCACGTTCCTTCATGGTGAGGTCATTGAGGGAGTTAATAAAACATGTTTGTTGGCTGCAGGGACCCCTGGGAACCTTGGCCTTTATTATCCTCTGGCGTCTGCTAGACGCTCCAGAGTGTCAGGAACACAATCACACATACAGTAGAGAGCTCGCTTCTGCTCTGTTCATCTGCTGCCTTGCAGGGGCATGAAATTCTTCAGCTTTAGGGGGGGAATAAATGTGTCTCAAATGTTAGTCTAGATCATTCTTGCTATGGTAATTGCTCCTTTTTTTGAATTTGTGATGCATGGCTTTTCTTAGGGAAAGGAAAGTGTTAGTGTCATTCTGCAGAGAGCTAACTGCATCTTTCCTAGTTTGTTTTTTGTTTTTTAATGAACACAAAATAATGAGAAATAAAGTGATTCTACCTTCTGAGATAGAGGCTGGTAATATGTCTGGGCTCTTTCCCCTAAATATAGGAAGAAAGAACAGCTGTTGACAAAGCAAAACACTTCTTAGAGTCCAACTTGTATTCAGCAGAAGACCCCTACACTACTGCCTTGATTGCATATGCCCTGACACTGCTACACAGTCCCTCTGCTGCTGTGACGCTGCGGAAAATGAACAGCATGGCTATTACACAAGGTACTGTGCTGCTGGGGCTGGACTGGCAGTCCTCTTACGGGAACAAGCAAATAGCCCTTGCTACTTGAATGATATATTCGAGTTACTGGAGAGGACAGAGCCTGTGAGATGAGGTCTTTCTTGCAGCACAATTTGACTTTGTAAGGCAAAAGTTTTCTTAATTCTCTGCAAAGAGGGCCGAGTACCTTGGTTCCATGCATGCAGCTGATGCTGAAGGAAGGCAAGTATACTAGAGGCGCTGTGGTGACTTTCCTGTCAGTATGACAGAGTTTAACTTGTAACACTTCACATTCCCTGGTGGTGTATTTTAACCCAAAATCCAAGAATTACCTAATTTGTCCTGTTAAGCCATCTTTGTAATGGCAAAAGGAGCCTCTTGCCTAGGGGATGCTCATCTAAAAGGAGGAACAGTGCAGTTCAGGGCATGACTCTTTCTTTGAGTCAATGCAAAAGTAGAATTTGATTCTTCCCATATACAGAGTCTTAGCTGCAGTCCTGCTGTAATAACATACATATTCCACTGTCCTATTTTTCTAGATGGCTTTACACACTGGAGCTTGACGGGAACTCTTGTTACTGATGAAGATACCTTCATGGGATTTAATGATGGTCTCTCTCAATCAGGTATTTGTACTGCAAAGACGGAGATAAGGGAATGGGCTGCAACAGCAGGCCACTGACTGCACGTATTCTAGTGAGTTTTGTATATAATAGAAGGTATTCTGAAAGTGGCAGGCAGCCTGGGCAGGGTCCGGGTGAAATAAGAGCTCATAAAAGTCAGGTAATGTTATGCTGAAAGAGCTGGTTAAGAGCAAATGAGAGACAGAGCTAGATGTGGTCAAGACAGGACTGTCTTTTCAGCCCCAGCTCTCTCACCATTCTTCACACCAGTATAGAGACAGTGAGTGAGAGCCATATGGGATTCCACTGGGGAGGAATCATTTGAAAAGGAAACCTGAGAGAAGTCAAATACATATAATTTTAGAGCTGTTTAGCTTTGTATTTTCAAATGGACCTAGGGATTGTATACCCAGCTTTTTTTGGCAGTCACTGGCATTTCAGCTGATTTCCTAGACTTTAACTATCAAAGCCACAACAACAGTGAATGATGCTATAATTTTCAAGTCATGTAAAGCCATTGACTCTTCTAATATGATACAGGTCCACCAATGTTCAGGAGGGATCTAACTGGATACTGTATGAAAATCTCTAGGACAGGAATACAGTACGGGCAGCAGCAAAGTAGAACTGGCATGGGAGAAAAGTTACTTATGGGGTACAATCAAGTAGAAAGGAGGTTATCTACTGTGTGAAGGAAAGGGCTTATGTTGGAAGTAGAGATATCTTTGGAAGGTGACACATCCTGGGTGCAGAAATCTTTTAACTTCATTTTTCTCTTCCTGTGTTTACTTCTACAGACTTAACTTTTTTTTTATTTTTCAGCTAATGAATATTCATAGAACTATCTCTAGACCTGCCCAGATTCTCGCTTCTAGATGGTATTTTAAAATGTATTTTATTTTTTTTTATTCCCACCCCCCTTTCAGTTGTTTCTGCAGAAGTGGAAATGACATCTTATGCCCTTTTGACGTACACACTCTTAGGAGACGTGGCCTCTGCGCTCCCAGTAGTAAAATGGCTTTCTCAGCAAAGGAACGCGCTTGGAGGATTCTCGTCTACTCAGGTGGGCTGCCTCCGAAAAAAGGTAGCTTCAATGCATGCATAATCAATTGTAAAAATCAATTGATTCAGGAATGGTCGATATAGAGTTTCCATCTAGAGTCTAGACAGAAACTGTCTGTGTCCTGGTAAGATGAAAAACTTTCCAGTGCTCTTTACTGCTTCCTCCTTGGGCTGATAATTTGAAAGGAACCTAGACTTTGTCCTTCCAGATGCCTTTGACAGCAAAAGTGAACAAAACCTGATATTTCTTTTGCTATCTGAATTAATAAGGAAGATTCTGCTACCAGAAGCTGATGACTGCGCAGCACAGTGCTTGTTTATAAGTTTATTATGCTCCTGTATTCTTCACTATTCTGATCTCTCCCTCTTCTGATTCCCAGGACACGTGTGTGGCCCTGCAGGCTCTGGCTGAATATGCTATCCTTTCTTATGTTGGAGGAGTCAACCTCACCATTTCCTTGGCTTCTACTAATCTAGACTACCAGGAGACATTTGAGCTTAACAAGATGAATAAAAAAGTCCTCCAGACTGCAGTGGTAGGTGGTTTTGTGTTTATGTAGCCAAATTTTTCAAGCAATTCATGTGAGCTGGGTTCTGAATGACAACTCAAGATAAGTTCAGTAATGGTAAAAGCACTAGTCAAACTCTCTGAGATCTTGGTACTTTTGGGGGTTTTATGGCTGGGTATTGGTGTGAAGGAGGCAGCACTCAAAGGCATTTTTCACCATAAGTAATGCTTATTTTGTGCTGCTGCTTGTTTCTACCACTGTTAAATGCAGGTGGCTGAAAAGAGTAAGCCATAGTCAGTTCACTTTTGCAGTCCCCTTTGTAACTGGAAAGATCTTTTGTACAGAATAAAGCTAAAATTGATATTCATTTCCATTCTGAGTGCCATGTCTTGTCTGTGTCTTAACTGTGGATTCTCCCCAGATCCCCAGTATTCCAACGGGGCTGTTTGTGAGTGCCAAAGGTGAAGGCTGCTGCCTGATGCAGGTAAAATTGCCATGGGGCTGGAGAAAGTATATGAGCAGGTGATTTCTAACCTCACAGTCTATTTGCTGCTTTTTTTAATCCCAGTTTGTGTTGAGGAAGGAGTTAACTTTGAATTTCTCTCAAAGTAATTATATAACGTGGTGTTCCTTTAATTCGTAGAAGTAAATGTAATTGTAGTAGGGTGAATCTGCTCTGGTGTATCTTTACTTACACACAGGCGTTGCAAATCCTCTGTTGCCTCTGTGCCTGCCATTTCCTCTCTCTGAAGAGATCTGGTGTTTATGCTGGTCTTTGGGGAACATTTGTAGATGCTATGAAACGTTGGAGTCTAACAAACTGCCCTGATTTGTTTTGTTTCATTTCCCTCCCCCCGCCCCTTTCTGCTGCAGATTGATGTCACTTACAATGTACCTGATCCTATTGCCAAACCAGCTTTCCAGCTCCTGGTTAACCTGAAGGAGCCAAAGTCAGAGCAGCATCTTCAAGCTCCAAATCTCCTGCGGTCTGTCTCTCCAGATGAGAATCGCTCCGAAGCCTTGCACAGAGAGAGGGCACTGGTGGATGATGATGACCCAGCTTCAGATCAGGACCATCAGGAGTACAAAGTCATACTGGAGACGTGCACTAGGTAGGAAATGCCAGTTTGCATCATGTCCTGCCTGTTTTTCAGAGACCATCTGGTTTGCTGATCAGCACATCTATACTGATATGTTCATTGATAGAGGAAAAATACTGACTTCTTTCTTGCTGTACTGTCTGTCTCAAACAGTGTAAGATAAGACACCTCACATGCGGAATGCAGAATTTCAACCATTATTGTGGCTTGTAGGACAGAGTTATTGAATGGGCATTCACGAGCATTGTCTGCTGGCATTAATAATTTTAGTGCTAAGTATATATATATATGTTAGAGAAACAAGAACAAAATTTACAAAGAGGGCAGCACCTTGGGTTTTTATTATTAAGTTGCACTATTGCCTCTCCAAGGCCTGAAGAAGACAAATCGAATGTCATTTACTTGTATCAGGTGGAAAATAAAAAGTTCTGCATTATTTTCTAGGTCTTCAGTAACAGGCTTTCCTTAAAAGCCTAAAAGGGCTAGGTAATTTCAGCCAGTTAACTCCTATCTTAAACATGTTGACAGTTCTATAAATATTATTACTTGACTTTAATGTTTGAGTTGCTTATTCTTCAGTTTTGGATACCAAAAACCTAACAGAAGTTGCTTGTTGCTGTGGTAGGATTTTTTTAAATCTATGGTAAAGGCACAATATATGCAGATATTTGTCAGTAAGCTCTCTAAAGCTTATTGCTTATCTCCTTATTCCACATGAAGAAATTTAAAATATCTTTTAAAGATGGCATGTTACTGAAGTTTCATTCCTAGCTCTCAAAGCACTTTGCAAAGACATAAGCAGTTCTGTCTCATTTTACAGATTGGGAAATTTAAGAGAAAACAGCTTGCCTGTACACAAACAGCAGCAAGAATAGTTTCTGCCCTGTATTCAATCCACTTACACATTTTGCTTAAACACATCAGGACTGCTGCGATAATCAGGAGTTGCTGATGTCTTTACAAAATGTTTTGGTTCTTAAGCAGGTTGTTGGAAAGTTGGCCCAAAAGAGCGAAAGCCACAACCAAAGTAAATATGGAGGGCTTACAGTATCCTACTGTATAACAGACGAAGCCATTCCCAGGAATTTCATAACTGTTCTGCATGTCTGTGACCAGGAGCATGGCAGGTGGTGGGGCTGCAGCTTCACTGAACTGAAACAGCAGAAGTCAAGTGAACAGCTCGGGTATAATTCATGGAAATGGAAAACTTTTGCTCCCCTATTGGTTTCTGTCTCATTCCTCCCTGCAGAGGCAACACCATGCAGTAACTACAGTCCTGAAAACAGTTGCAGTGGTTCCAGGCAAAGATGAGATCTTGTTATGTCTCTCAACACACTTGCCACTTACATGGCCGTGTCGCTGGCAGATGTGTTGCCTCCCATTTGTCACAAGCCTGTGAAATCCTGGGCCAGGCATTTTTCAGCCTAGTTGAATTCTTCCTCCCTCCAGTAACAACAGCCAGTGACGAGCAGCTCAAACTTATAATCCAAAAGTTTGTTAGGGTCACTCTGGCTGTATATAACACCAGATCATGTTCTCAACCTCTTCGTCCCCTGCCTAAGCAGTGCAGCTTGTATTGGGGAGGTAGGCTTAAAAAGTCTTGTCAGTCCCTTGAAGATGCCTGTGACTAAGGAGGCCGCCCTGCATCAACACAACCTTTCTGTTGTTATTTCTGAAACTTCTGCCTTGGGAATTGCTGGAGCAAAGACAGAAATTTGAGAGGAAGCCCAGTCCAAAGAGATTGATTGCTTGGAAAGAAAACAAAAGCAAATGAAATCTTCCCTTTCCTCCCCTTCTTCCTGTAACGATGCTCTTATAACTCCTTCTTCATCTTATTTAGGCAATGCGAATAGAGGAGTGCATCTAAGGATGACAATTGAAATATTTTGAGCTGGGGGTGTTCTTCAGAATGTAATTGGTTTAAGTGTTTTCATGCTCAGTGAAGTCCTTGGGGCACTTTTGAGGGAGAAAGCAGTTAAAGGGATACTAAAGGATTTTTTAGGGAGTATGGCGCATGGAGTTGGATCGGGATTAACAATGCTTAATGAGTCTGAGAGATTGTCAGCCCCGAACTGGCTTACACAGAGCCAGCTGGATCTGTCCACAGACCATCGCATGCTACTGTGGGTGTATTGAGCATGGCTGTGGCATTACATCCAGGTTGGCTCTGTGCAGAGCTTCAGCAACCTCACACACCCACCCTGGCTGTGGAGGTCTCCATATAAAGGCCTCCAAGCACCCCTGCAGGAGCCAGTTCAGATCTGACAAATTTGATCCTGGAAGCTGCGTGCTGTGTTTTCTCAGTGCTGGGCATGAGCTAATAAGTCCTCCTGGGTCCAAGCTCGTTGTCTTTGTGGTGCAACTAAACAGCAAACAGGTAAGCTGCCAAGGAGGGATAGTTTAGAGCTGACTGTATGCGAATGCAGAGAAAAGGAGCCTTGTTCTGGATTTTTTTTAATGTGTACTTCAGCAGTAACAACTCTGAATTTCAGTGTTTTTTTGGTGTCTCCATTGATGTTACAGAGGTCAATATAGGGAGTGAATTCTTTAACACGAGTAACTAGAGAGTGAGGTTGCTGACTCGTTAGCAAAGACACTTTTCTCAGTGTTAATTAGATGCTGGAGGGAAATGGCCATTTATGAAAACCCCAGGGTTGAATGACTCTGCCTGGTATTGGGAAGTAACATTCCTCTTACACCACGATCCATTTACAGCCCTCCACTTAGGAAAGAACAGAAGTTTCTTCTACTCCAAGGGGTTATTCACTTTTACCAAGTGCATTTTCTCAGTAATTAATTGAAAAATGAGGCAAGCAGCCCCACAGGAAACTACATCCTTCCTTCTGCTTTTCTGCCTCCATTTGCCTGGACATCTCCTACATCTCTGCCCTCTGTGAGTTATTTTGTTGAATAAAAGCAGAAAAGAGGATTTTGTAAAGGCAAGTAAACTGTGGCTTTCAACAAGTCCTTCAAAGAAGAGTAGATCCTTTTAATTTTTTTTTCCTCTGATGTTTGTTTCAGTTGTTCTCCATCCTGAGTTGTCCATGTACCATTTATTATCTTGGATCCTGAGTTTGTTTTCATTCTTTCTCTCTTTGTGTTCTCATGGGAAGATGGCTGCACTCTGGATCTTCTAACATGGCTGTCTTGGAAGTACCATTGTTCTCAGGATTTCGTGCTGATATTGAGAGCCTAGAGCAGGTAAGATGCTGTAATGAGAATGCAAGGCATGATCGTGGGCCAGAACCTGGCTCTCGAATAATTGCCAGGGGTTGCCTTTGGGGAGCAATAGGAAACAAATGCCATTGGATGTTAGAGCACTGTCCAAAAAGAGACAATTGAAATTGGGGGGGGGGAGATTTCACTTGTCAAAAAAATATTTATCTGAAATGCGTAAACAGATGTTTGGTAAATTTGTTAATCTTGCTCAGAACATAGCCAAATGAAGGTTTGTTACTGAGCACAGTGCCCAGTAATTAAATGAGACCCATTTGGAAATGCTGAAGTGAAAATGTGCTCTAACAGGAGCTGTTTATGGCTTCTTAGTGGGCTGTGTTATCTCCAACATCTGGATTCCATTTCTTTGGAGGCTCTGTGTCTTGGAATTTTTTGCCTCTTTTCTTTTTTTCTTTTTTTTTTTTTTTTTTTCTTCTTCTGGGAGAACATCATGTTTATTGCAAGCCAAACTGAGGTGGACAGAATGTGCCTCTTACCCAGCCAGCCCTCTAGGGGAGATGAACTGTAATCTTCAGCTTTACTTTATATTTTGTGGAAGCATTACAGTTTATTCACTGGTGATTTTTATGCTGCAAATCAGAGTTTTTAAGGACTATGTAACTAAAGAGGTGTAAAATCCTTGCATCCTTGAGAACTGGTAAAGAGCTGAAAAGTATTTTGCTTCCAAAAGATCTATTCTGCTAATAACTTTATCATTATTATACTGGGGGAAAGAATTTTAAATTAGAATTGTAGTGAAGACCAGGCAGTTCAATTTGTCATCCTAATTCAAGGAAGAGTGCACACTGCTTTGTCTTCTTTAGGATTTCTCTTGATTTGGTTAATTTCTAATACAAACACCATTGCATTTTCTTGGAGAAAATGGGGCAAATAGGTTCCTTTTTAGGGGCTTACAATCCATGTCAAAATCTGCTGTCAGATAGTCTCCTGGGCTGTCACTGAAGCCAGAGAAACTTGTGTATTAGTCCCTGAGAAGGGAATTGCATCTTTTCAGTATCTGGGAGCTGTGCTGGAATACTTTTGTACAGCTATGTGTGTTGATCAGCTACGAAATTATTCCTGTAAAGAGAAATATCAAAGTTATTTTTACGTCTGTTCACTAGCTGCATGTTGAGAATTCTGTTTTCAAATGCATGCATGTAAAATGTATCAATTTTTATTTGCCTATTGACCTTTGAGTGTGATATTCTCTCTCACATACAACAAATGGTGCAACAAACTGAATATGGCTATTCAGATGAGGCAAGACCACCAGTAGGAGGTCTCCAGTGACCCTGTGGTAAGAGAAAGGAGGAAAATTAGGTGAGGGGGACTGTAGTGGGTTTGGTTCATTTCTACTGCTTTCAAAGTTCTTTTTCACAGTAATTTACATAAATAATGGCAGAAAAATATGGATGGAAACCTGGCTTTGGTTGAGATCTCAAAATGGGACAGGAGGAGACCAACAGGATACCTTTATGGTGTTAAACCCATGGAATGTTTTATCAGCAGAGAAAAAGGAGGAGTAAGGGGAGGCAAAGAATTGAAACAAAGAGTACAAAGGGGGTTTCATTACAGAAGAACAGAAAATTTGTTTGGTCAAGTAACAAATCCCCATACTCCTTTTTTCCTGAAACAAGCTAAGTAGCAATTACAGAAATGGGAGCTCCCATTGTCTAGGCTGTACTCTGTGAACATCTCCTTTACTGGTTTCAGCAGGGGACAGAGTTAAGAATTTCTAGGCTGGGAGTCCTGAGAAGGTCCCATAAGCTCATGTGTTACAAGGGACTGCAAAAGTTCTGTCATTTCAGTCCCTGAACTTTTTATCCTTTTTGCCAAGGCAGCTGTGCTCTGGTATGAGGCTCATTTACATGGCTGGGCCAGAGAAGTGTCCCAGATAAAGACTTGTAAACCAAAGGTGCTTATTTTGCATTTAGTTACTACTAAAAGGCTGCTACACGCAGCAATCTGCTCCTGTGCTGTGCTGATGGTTTACACTAACCTGTGTTCAGGGCATGTTGTACATGTTCCAAGTAGAGGAAACAGTGAAGACAATTGTGAATATATGACTAACATTAGGGTATACACTCTGCAAGGAAACTCTGATTCTGGTTCCCCAATGAACTGGCTGTATAATGTTTCAAAACACTTTTGTTTGCAGTACCTTACTCTCTCTTGTCTTCTGGTGTGTTGCCATAACCCTTGTGCTCTGTGACACCAGCTTGCCTCCAATGTTTGGTTTCTCACTGCTTCAGAGATTCTTCTGTCACATTCAGTGCCATCTTGCTGGTGTCTCGGCACTGCTGGTTCCTTGACCAGGTGCTGGTCAGCACTCCTAAATCAGAAACAAACACTGGGCGTGTGGAAATTAGAGCAGAGAAACAGGGAGATTTACCCACACTGCTTGTGTCGGACAGATCCATGAATGTCTGGGAAGCATCATGGTTCAGCTTCCTACCCTTCCTCTGTTCTGTCACATCCCCAAACCTGGCCTGGACAGAAGCAGTCAGAGGGTAAAAGCAAGCTGCCCTGCTACTGGACAAGAGTTTTCTCAGTGCTGAATGAGCTCTCCATCACATTAGGCTTTCTTTAGCACTAAGCAGACAAGGTAGTTGTGCTTTCCCTTGTGGCATCTTCCCACCTGTCTGAATCTCATGTTCCTGCTTCTATGGGCAGAGAAGCAACAGAGTCCCCGTGTAATCCCATCTCTTAGGGTCTGTGTGCATATAGTAGCAGGTGATTTTTTTTCCTTTCTCTGCCTGTCTTAATGGGAAAAGAGGCTGATTTTCTTTCTTAACTGGGAAGGCTGAGCTCCTGCAGCACAGAGCTGATCTGAGTTAAGTCCTTGCAAATCTCAGAAGGATGTCAGGTACTTCATGCAGTGCATACTTTTTCAGTGCTTGTCAGATACAAAAGAGCTGGTTCAAAACCCACTGTTTGGAGAGTTCTTTGGGTAAAAGACTATGTAATTGGTGACTCGATTTGGCGAGAGGACTCGGTGCTTGGGATTCAGTACTGGGCAGTCCATTTCTACAACCAGAACAGAATTACTTCCTTGGGCAGTAGGAGATTTTGCTAAATTGGGAAGGATATTGCATCTTCAAGGGAAAACATCCCCCTCAAAGAGCTGAATTCCATCTTTCTTATTGCAGAAACCCTTTGCATCTGTAAAAATTAAATGTAGGGACAAAGCTCAAGCATATATGTAGGTAGGCAGTGAAGATGCAGATACAACCCCTGTGATTTATTCATGGCTATCAAATGTGTATCCAAATCATGCTGACAAAACTGAAATTCTTCCACTGAAGACACGGTACTACTTTTGTCTCGTATTTTGGACACCACCTTCAGCAGAGCCCTGCCATTCCCACCGTTGCATTTTCTTGTTACCCTAGCTGTTTCCCTCTCCTCCTGGTGAGGAGGGGTAGGGCTGTAAATCAGATTTCCTTGTTTGTTGTTTGCCATCACAAGGGAGCAGTGTGCACAGAGCGGACCCATGTGCAGCTCCGGGGCAGTGATGGTTAATGAATGCTCTGTTGCACGTTGAGGGCAGCCCCCCTGGCTGTGCAGCCACAAATCCTCCTAATAATGTTGGGTGTCGACAAGGTCAGGAGGTCACCACAGGCTGGTATATATCAAGCTTCACCAGAAAAATGCAACTTTAGCTGAGCTGAGCATTTCCCGGTGGCGCCAGCCTCTCCAAGCCCTCATAAAAGGACTGTCTGCAGCCATCTACTGCTGAGTAATAACAGCCACCATCAGGCCCCTAAAATTATAAGGACAAATTAAATTGGCCCTTTCCATATTGTGTGGGACTTAAACACATGTTCCTTTGCTTGTTACAGTAATAGCAGGAAGCTGTGTGCAGGGTTTTACAACTAGAAGCACTATGCTGAAAAAATTCACAGTTAAAGCTGTTGGTAGCAGGTTTGGGCAAATTTCAGTAGAAATGCTTTTTGCTTCATGTCATTGTTTCTAATGCATAACAATAATAATAATGCTTTGTTCTCCTTTCCACAGAGTTTTCATTCTAAGATCTCAAAATAACTTAGGAACGTTTAAAAAAAAAATAAAAAAAGCCAAGGATATACTATCCCTATGTCACAAATGGGATTGTCTGACAGAGAGGTTAAAGTAATAGGACAGTTTGGAGAATAGAATTAAAGTATCTGCTCTCACCCTTACTCTGTTCCCCAAACTGAGATTAAAGCACAAGAGTCCTTCTCCACAGACCATCACCCTCCCCAGCTTCTGGATTAATGTTTTTCACATGATAGATGTGTTCTGAATACAATTTATCACAGCAGTAATGATTGGTCAGCTGACAAGTTCTGTACCAGGGAGAGAGTTACTAGGTTCTTTGGGGGGGTGCAGTAATTCCATAAAGGGAGGGCTCTTGCCCTTTCCTCTGAAGACAGTGATCATGATATACACACAGACCTGCAGTCAGCATGAGGAGATGAGCTTGGAGCACTTTTACAAATGGCTGGGGTAGATTAGGGGCAGTAGCACCCCAGATGTGGGAAGTACTCTTAGATTGTGTTCTGATACTCCTTAGGTAAGCAGATTGTCCCAATAAATAAAAAGCACTGGTACAATGCAAATTACAAACCCCTGGGCTTCAGAAGGAGAGAAGATGAGTAGCAGAGGCTTGGCCTGACCCCGTTCGTCAAAAGGGAGGATGCCTAGGGCTCTTTCAAATGGCTGCTCTTTTCAAATGTAAGGATTAATTTTCCTGGCAGAAGAATGTTTTGGGTTTTTCAGCTGGTGGGAGCAGGGACCTGTAATACCTGGTGTGATCCAGCAGCATAATTCCCTGGCGGTCTGAAGGAGTGTAAATAAGAGACTTATCGAGTGTTTTGAGGTCTCTGAGGTCTTGCTTGAGACTTGGTACTGAAAACAATCTGGGAGCTATTCAATTAGATTATGGATGATATGTCAGGCATAGTCGGAGGGAGATAAATGCACCAGGGAGAACACTCAGCATTGTGCACCTTGCAAGCATTCCTCATCACAAAAGAACACGGATGGCTTTTTCCTCGGTTGTATGACAGCAACTGCAATCCTCTTTGCATTTCCCCTCTCTCTTTACTGAAACATCCTTTTCCAGCAGAAATCATCTCTAGGGTTTAGTGTCTGATCTGTTTTATGAGCAATCTAAATTCTTTCTTCTCTAACTTCAAACTGTTTTCTATAAAATGAGATGAATCTAAACCTGTTGGTTTTTTTCCCCAGTTATTGATGAACAAGCAAATTGGATTAAAAAGATACGAAGTGGATGGAAGAAAAGTCCTTTTTTATTTTGATGAGGTAATGACTTTGTTTCTTCTAATTATGTTGCTTTTCAGTGAAAGGCAAATGACCAGTGGATCAGGCATAGATATAGTGTATTGGTGTTGATGGTCCCTCACAGATGAGGATTACCATGCAGCTTTAACTGGCCAGTTGCTTGAGCTTCTTTTGAGGCAGGTAGGTGTTGCGCTTTTGGTTGGAAACCTAAACCATAAGAGGCAGGAGATTAGCTTCAGCCCATATAGAATTTCTGGGCAGATATCACTTAGTTTTTGCCTCAAAATAATTTTATCTTCAGGTACAGCTAGCATTGCTAAAAGGCAGAGTAAAAATGCAGTCTGATTCAGATCTCACAGCACATACCTGAGAGCGGAAGATGAGATCACTCCTGGCTTGGTCATCAGCAGTAAAGTGTTAGGTAGTTGCATTAATAAGCACTCCTGATGACAGCAGTCATGTTAGGTAAACCAGCTTGAGTTTCAGGTTTGACTTTCTGATGCTGTTGTATGGCAAGTATGTGCTTTAAAGGCCAGCAAAGTATCACGTATTTTAATTCATCCTCTTTGGCTTTTATTCATTATCTTTCTCTCTATACCTAGTACTGTAGGTGTCTTTATTCTCCCCAGGTGTCCAGCACAGCATGTTACATTAGGGCACACGCTACATTTGTTTATCCATCTCTTCACTAAAGTGCAGTTTTTGTTACAATGAGTCTTTTGCATAATTTCATACAGATTCCCAGCCAGTGCATGACCTGTGTAAAGTTTCAAGCTTTCAGAGAGCATATAGTTGGGAAAACAGCTCCTGTTCCTATCAAAGTATATGATTACTATGAGCCAGGTATGTGCCTGTTTTCCTTTGATTTTTGCCAGCTTTACAGCTCTAGGCATAAGGGTCAGTTGTGACTTCTCATTCTTGCTGGCCTGCAGCTTTTGAAGCAACTCGTTTCTACAACGTGAGTGAAAACAGTCCCTTGGCTCGGGAGCTCTGTGATGGGCCAACGTGCAATGAGGTGGAAAGCTCAGCTAGCCAGTGGGTTGGTAAGTTGCACCAAAGCCAAGCAATTTTTTTAGAAAATGGAGCCCACAGACATACTTTCCAGGAGTTCAGAACTCAAAATTATATTTAGAAAAATGCTCTGTTTCACTATCTGTGTTAGTGGAAGTTTTACAAAGGTTTGTGGGATAGCAGTATTAAACTTAGGGCAGCCAAACAGACTGATGTAGTCTATTCTTCAGTCACCAAAGTGACTATTATTTGCTTCAGAGGCAAGATATAATGTATAATTCTGGAAGAACCTGCACAAGGTGAGATGTGTTGATAAATGTAAAGGTTTAAAATGCAATTTGATTTTTCTTTCTCTAAAATATCTTGTAGTAGAGTTCCACAATTAACTGTGGGAAGATTGAACGATTTCATGCATCAGTGAAAGGAATAACTTTCCCCAGGAACTGTACGTTCCTTTCTGTCCTCTGTGCCATACAAAATAGTTGCTTTATGCTATATCTGGAATCTACTGCAATACGGTTCTTTCAGAAAGACAGCTTTATTCCCAGAGCTATTATTTCTACCAAGTTTGTAAATTCCTACGAGAAGTCTTAGGGAATTCAACGTGAAAACTTACATCAGAGAAATACATCTCCACTCCATCTTCCCCTTCTCCATGCTATGCAAAAATAGTGCTTTGGATGTTTTTGTTTACTTTTCAGGCTTTGTTCACTCTGGACCATGCAATAACATTTTTGGCTGCTTGGAGGATGAGTATTTTGAGCAGTGCATGTGTTCGCGAGACTGTGGCTATGATGGGGAGCCTGTATGTGGATCAGATGGACAGATTTACCCGAACCATTGCCAGATGGAAGTAGCATCGTGCAGGAATAATACAAGGATAGAACAGATGCCTATGTCTCAGTGTTCTGCCTGTAGGTTTCATTCAGTTCCCTTTTTCTGTTACGACCTAGTTGCAGAACGCTACAAATCCTCATCTAAGCAAATTATAATTACATGCATGTGGTAGGGAAAAGAGGAGAATTCAAAACCTCATATGCTACTCGTACTACAGGGGATTAAGTTATAAGAGTAACTTCCTTCCACTTAGCTCAGAATAACTGGTTTTCTGTTCTTGTGAATACATGTTTTATCAATCAGAATGAACTTCTGAGAAAATTAGTGATACTGTTTTATCTGAAGTGAATAATCCCAGATAAAAATTACGTCCGTACAATGTGGCATTCTTTGGAGATTCTGCATGGCCTTTCAACATGTGCAGTGTAGTAGCTCAGTGAACTGAGTAGGCCACCTCCAGAAATGCAAACATTTTCTAGAGAGTCATTAACAGATTTTTTTTATAACCAATGCATTTGTTTTTCTTTTTATTTACAGCCAAGAATTTGCCAGAAGAAAGGGAGACACACTCCCACACAGTTGAGCAACCCAGTGTTCAACAAACTCCAGCAGGTAATATCATACCTTTGCATTTATCCAAGCCCTTTTTCTTTAGCAAGGTTAAGGTTTATCCTACTACTATATAAAAGTATATAAGGCTCCTAAGCACATTTAAGTAAAGATGCTGAATTTCTTCATCTTTTAGAAAAGACAGAGCATTCAGAAGTCTGGAAAAATAAACAGGTCAAGGAAACCAGGATGATAACTATTTAACAACATACTAGCTCTTCTAGGCCTTTTCCTTTCTGGAAGTCTCGCGTGATACGTGCTCTATTCAGTGCATATGCAAGATTTAGGTAATTGCTTTATAGGAGTGGGCAAGCGATCCTTCTATTTTCTCAGCCTTGGTATGTCTGAACAATGCGCACTCTGTGATCTTTTCTTCAGTATTAAGCTGGAAAGATCACTTTTAAAACCAGGCTGATGTAATGTGTTTCAACAAACAACTGAACAGGACATGACAACAGACCAAACCATTGCAAGAACTAGAATCCAGGTGGATTAACTTTGTCTCTAGCAGTTCTGTGCAAAAATTGAGCTGGCAGTCTTGATTCCCTTAAAGCTGCTGTTTAGAATAAAGGGCCTCAGTGAGCAGAAATGTTAAGGTCAGTAGATGGAGTAGCCAGGAATTTGGCTGCTCATTTTATTTGGTGCTTATATTCATACACTTTTTTCCAAGACTCATGTCGAACTTGCTTATGGCTCACAATAAATCTCACCAAGAAGCAGTGGAGGGTCAATAGAATAGTTTGTTTCATGCTGTTTCTAGTAAATAAACTGGACTAGATTTTTCCTGGCTGCTTTCCACTCATTAATTTTCCTCTGGCCTCTCACTCTCCTAACAAATCGGTAAAACAAGTTAATTCTTCAAGAGAAGAGTCTGTGCCTTCTCATGTCCTTCTTGTGTACCACAGTTCAGACCTGCATGTGGCCAACATGAGAGACACCATCCTGTTCTTTGCCCTTCCTATGCTCTACGGAAGTTGATGGACAGTTTTCTTATTAAGGTGTAAAAGCACAGTGAATATTCCATTATGACTATTTCTATAGGTCATTCAATCTTACAGTGTTTAATGTCTCTCCTGTTTTCTCTCCCTTTGTTTCTGGACTTAGTGTGACTATATATATATATATGGTTGCTGTCTGTTAGAATAATTGAGATCAATGCTTGTTGCTTTTTATTCTGTGCAAATGCCATGTACTCAGCATGGAAACTCTGTTTGCAACCTGAACCCTTTAAAGCATCATTCCCAAACTGCTCTGTAGGGCATTGCTGGTATGCAAGGCCATACTAAGTGTTTTGTTGCTGGTCTACAAAACGGAACTGCAATTACATTATTTTAAAATAAAAATTTGACAGTAAAAATATAGTTACCTGGGAAAAAAATTGTGGAACTTGACGGTAGTCCACAATCCAAAAATCTTCAGAACAGTGTTTCTGAAATAATCTGCATTAAAGTACCTAAAAAAAATAACCCTCTGGTTTCTGTTCTAAACCAACAAAAGCAATGTTGGCTCAGTAGGCTATCAATAAGAGCAAAAGTGGAAATTCTGGTGGGGTTTTTGGTGTGGCATTTTTATACACGTTAGATTAACAGGCCTGGGTGCCGTAAGGATGCGTTTGTCAAAGCACAACCATTTAGAGCTGGCTTTGTTCTAGGATCTGTAAGCATTCAAGTTGAGAGTCTCCTGGAAGGCAGATACTCCTCTGAACTGAGCTGTCTGAGCAGCCATGGCAGAGTGAGCATTCAGAAATAAAACTGACTAAATCCTGCATCAGGAAAAGCACCCAGCATGTGATTTTCATTAATCCTCTGGGCTCCTCTCAGGTCAACCACACGGTACATGAATCAAAGTTTAACAAATGAATGAATCCCTCCTTATACACGGGTTTCGTTTGGACTCGCTGGTTTGTTAGCATTGAAGCATGTGATTGGTTTAAGTCGGCTCAGGTGCTCTGAGTTTCTAGTGAAAGTTTTGATGAGCCATGTCTAAATCTGTGATTTCCTAAAAGGATGCAAAACTCCAGGAGCCAAATCAAGCTTAGGGCAGGTTGGTGAAACTGCCTCAGTGTGTTAATCTTCAGGAAATACCATTTTCCTGGAGAACCTCGTGGTGTTTATATTGTCTGAAACCCTTCTGTATTTGCCGTATGACTTGTGCAGGCTCAGCTTGGTTTGATTGATGCTTTCATTGTTAGCTCTTGTCTATGTTACCCCAGCAATGGAAACAATGAGAGCCAGCTTCCTTCCAGCAAACAGTGGGGACACTTCATAATGTGTTTGGGCTCACTCTGGCAAACATAGACCTGCAGTGTCGTTCCATATACACCCATGAGTTTGTCAGAATAAACAACAGCTTTTGAGTTACGCTCTTCAAGGTAAACAATTGTATAGAGATGGTCCTGAAAAATCAGGGTGCAGTGCTTCTTGCAGCACCTAGCTATTGTCAAAGCGTTTTAAAATGCCTTTCAAAAGGCTGCAGCAGATGTTGCAGCAAGTGAGACAGAATGGCTGAGGTTTGCTCTTAAAACTGTAGCCTTTTTTTGTACAGATGGGTAGAACCTCTTGGCATCTTTAGAAATATTCTCTTGGTTGCGAGGGAAGTGTCCTGGGTGACAGGACTTGACTGAAACAAATCATGTCTGAATCACCCTCTTCAGCTGTTTTTTTTCTCAGGTGAATTACTGGGACTCAGAGGGATGGAAGGTTTTTGATGGACCGGCCTCTGCCTCTAAGCATTGAAGCTCTGCTAGTACACTCTCACAGCCTGCTCCAGTCATGTTTGTTTGGACCGAACGTTCTTGGAGCAGGATTTCGGTTGCTAACTGGAGTATCAGTAATCTCAAGTGCTTTACCGTCTGTGGCTTTCCTAACACCAGTGACACACTAGGCTACAAAAATATGGGTGTATTTCAAGGCCTCAGGGATCCTCAGTAGCTCTGATACCATCTCTCTGATGAAGTGGTTCTTTGATTGCTTCCACAGATCATAGAATCATAGAATGTTTTGGGTTGGAAGGGACCCCTAGAGGTCATCTAGTCCAACCCCCCTGCAGGAGCAGGGACACCTTGAACCACATCAGGTTGCTCACAGCCCCGGCCAACCTGGCCTGGAATGTTCCCAGGGATGGGGCCTCCACTACCTCTCTGGGCAACCTGTTCCAGTGTTTCACTACCCTCAACCTCAGTAACGGTCTTCTGAAACTGCCCTAAATCTTCTCTGCCAAAAGCACTAAATGTGTAGCCACTGATGTTGGAAGACAAGATGTTGATATCATGGTAATGTTGTGATTCTACATCTATCTGATGTTGGAAGACAAGATGTTGATATCATGGTAATGTTATTCTACATCTATCTGATGGAAAAGCAATACAAAGCGTGGTGCAGCAGTACTCGGCAGTGTCAGTGCTGCTGCGGTGTTGTACTCCGTGCTGCTCCGAGCAGGCAGCCCACCCAGCTTCGTGCTGACTGACCCCCCCCAGCCTTCTCCCCACAGCTGGAGCCATGTTATTTGTACTGCTCTAGCAATTAGAAGGGCCAGTAGCTGGAAGAAAATTCTAGGTGGAATTAAGATACTTTTATTTGGTGGTGGTGATGGTGTTATTTTTTAAAAAAATTAAATGCCATCACTCATCACTAGCTCCTAGCAGGAACATCAGAGTGAACTCTGCTTCCAGGTGGACTCATCTCGCAACACCCCCTGGCAGGCGCATTATTCACAGGACCGCTGTTCTTTTAGGATTGATTGAACTGGCAATGGGCCATTTTTCCTTTCACCCCATCGGTGTTCAGCAAACATTGGCTTAGGCACACACATTTGGAGATGGGGGAGTGGTTTGTATGCAACAGGAAATGTCGGCCTTTCGTCTTTGCTTTGACTCCAATGCTGCATTCCTGGGAAGAGTGAGGTCTGTGATGTTAATTCTGTCCCTGGTGGACAGCAATCATCCATTCATAGAACGAGCTCATGATCTGGCAGGTTCTCACTTGGAGAGGGCCAAGAAGAAGTGAACACAGAGACTGACTCTGCTCTCAGGCAAGCATTCCCTTGCCTAGGGCTGAGCCTGTTGCTGGGAGGATGTGGGAGGCAAACAGGGAAGAGCCTTCAGATATTTTATTTCTAGAGAACAAACATTTTCAAAGGCCTTGATGAGCGTTCTCCTTAAATAAAGCCAACTTTTCGGGGAGGGAGGAGGGGGACTTTTCCTCCTTACAACACTGTTTCAGTGATTGCTTTGGTTTGGATTAGAGCAGTGTATGTGGAAAGCAAACAGGAAAGATGGACAGCTGAGCTGGCTCGAGGAACAGTTTAGAAAACGGAGACCTATTGGTATTCCTAGAAGTTTTATCTTAAAGTGTTACCCTCTGGACAGTGAGTAATCACCCACCACAGAGAGGCACAGCCTGTTTTGAGCGGGATATGTACTGGGTGAGTGACCTGCCAATGTCTTAGTATAGACTGGAGTGGATGCAAGCAGGATAAATATCTGTTTCTGCCTGTAATGCATCTGTTCCTTTCTTAAATGATGGAAGTTTCTCAGTGGAATGTGACTGTGCTGAAGCAGATGTATCTCAGCTACTGTTAGTTCAGGCTGAGGGAGAAGTGAATGGCTTTGATGTAGGCTCCTGGCCTGTTGTGCCAAAATCTTCATTCTGGTTGGGCTGAAAAGAAATCTAGCTGTTTAAACTGAGCCTTTTCATGACATGCACCAAGTAAACTGCTCTGACAGAGTCTGCCTTTTAACTTTGTAACTGACTTTTATAAAATGGGGCTTAAAAGAATGCACACATTACACAGCTTTATATGGATTGGTCTCTCCTTAACTGAGGTCCTTGCCTTGAATCTAATCAAAGGAGAGAGATGTATTTTTAGGGTGCAGAGTAACTCATCTGTGACGTCTGGTGTTCCCGAAGAGATCTCTTACTTTTACCTTACTGTGTAGAGGTCTTGGTGTGAACTCGTTCCTAACTTAAGCACCTCAGTTAATGACTAAAATTAGATACTTCAGAATGAAACTTTGAGACTTTTTCAAATTACATGACCCCTCTTTTTTTTTTTTTCCTCCCCTGCTATGATTTCTTTCTTTTTTTTTCCAGTGCCCAAGTCTCAGACTAGGAAACAGAAAATTCTGATTTACATCAGCTTTTACCTTGCCTGTGACTCTAAGCATGCATTTGCAGGTCCATTGACATTTGTAGCCTCCTTTACTCATGTATGGCACTCATTTTGCTCCTGATTTGCCTCCTTGATTAACATTCCTTTCCTTTTATGTCATTCCCCTTCTCTGTGATGCAATACATGATGCTGAAATGCAGTTTCTTTGGCTAAAGCACAACTCTATGGTTTCCTTTCCAGCAGAGGAAGGCCCTCCGCTACAGACAGATCTGTCATACTACTCCTATGAATATGACCCAGACCCCTATGCATCGGAAGCAGACGTTTTTGAGATTGTGGCAGAACTGACAACAGCAAGCACATTAAAAGAAGTGGACAAGATTCAGGAAGTGGTGACCACAGTAGAATGGTGAGCCAGAGAGTGGGGCATCATAAATCTGGTTTGAGAGTCAACATATAATGTACCAACTCATGTGTTGGGTCAAATATATTCAACTTCTCAAAATGGGCGTTCTTACAACTGACTTGCTAACGTCTTTAGCAAGGAATCACCAGGAACGAGGTCTTGCTAGGGCAGCATATAAAAGTCTTCATGACTTGAATGTCTCCATCCCTAGCAGACTAAAAAAGTGACCTTTTAAGCCCAGCCCCAGAGATGTTTCACAAAGACATGTAATGGGAAAGTGACTTTTCTTCATTATATTCTCTTTTCAACAGAAATATATAATTTAAATAAAGAGAAGAGGCTCAGAATCAACTCCTGTATGAGTTTGTTCCTACAGACGACCTGCTGCAGAACAGAAACCGAACGATGACTACTTCCTGAGGCACTCAGAACTGTAGGCTTTGCTGCCCCATGGGGGGGGGGGATCTGGAGCGCTAAGGGGGACACTCGGCGTTATTTTTCTGTCAATTTTCCTGCCTTTTGTGCATCCTCTTTGGATTACTTCCAAGGATGGGAGACCAATATACTGTGCCCTCTAGGTGAGAAAAATAGGGGCTGGAATCCAAACCTATAGTCCATTTCAAAGCATTTTCTCTACTATCAGGATGCTGCAAATGCCATTTCCTAGCTACATTTAGAAGCTAAGTCCAGGCCTTGTGCTTAGCTGAACTGCTGTTTGAGGAAAGATGGCTGAGAAGTTTTCTCTCAAATTATAATAATAAAAATCAGTGTGTTTTGCTAATGATGACATAGCAAGAAACTAATCATCTTCCCCAGCCCGTAAGTCTGCTGCACCCACAGCAATGTCTCACAAGAGACAAACTTCCCTAGTGGCTCCATGTTCAGGAAAGTTGTTGGGAGGTACATTTTACAAGAGAAAACTGAAATCCTGTGTCAGGGCTGAAAGGCTTGACTGTCCACCATGTGGCTGCAGGCTTCAGGTGGGGAGTTTGCCAGCCATAGCAGTGACAAGGATCAGGTGGGTGAGCCCTCTTCATGTTGCACTATGTGCTGATAAGGGCTGCTTGCAGCCTTCTCAGCCCCTTTCCTCCTTGTAACCCTGGCATGAAAATAAAGCTGACCCAAGGACCAGTCCTTTTAAATCCTTGCCTGACTTCACCAATTGCTTTTATTCTGCTCCCACTAGGATCCCCATACAGTGGTTGTTCTGGATATGGTAATCTGTGCATAGGCCCTGGGTCTGCTGGCCAGTACAAATCACTGGTGTCACAGAGGCTGGACTCCCTTAGACTGACCTGCCCCAAGCAATGTGGTAAAACTAAAAACAAAAGCTTTGTGTTTCCAAAAGTGCAGGAGCCAAGATTTTTTGGTTTCCCTTCCTGCCTGGAGCAGCATTGTTCTCTTTGGAGGAGTTACATGCAATTGCCTGTTGCAAAATAGTGTTAATATTTTATCTTCCCACTTCTATTGTTACCAGGACCCAGAGTGGGGTGGAAACTCCTTTTGAGGGTGTTTATTGGTGAATGGAAACAGGAAAAAGCCCAGCTCCATTCATTTTTAGGGCTTGTTTACACAGGAACCATGACAAGAATATATCCCAGTATAGACATTCCATTCCAGAATAAAGGCAATTTTATTCCAGAAAAATGTCCACATGGGGACAAAACAGGAGGTATCCCAGAAGTTGGGCATATGCAGTTTCCAGTCCTTTTTGTTTGGGGCCAGATATTTGCAGAATGTAGTTGACATGATGAAGGTCTTGGTCTTGAAGTTCCCAGAAATTTCAGAACTGCTTTGTTGGCAATTTTCCAAGCCCTTCCTTCACGGCTGCTCTGAGCTCTCCTCGCAGGATCTTGACGTGGCTGCTGCCCATATGTACCCACTGCTGCTCAGCAGAGGTTTTTGCCACGTCTCTTCAGTGTGCATGAACAGACCACGTCCTCACTGTGTCCGCACAGCACAGCGGAAGCGCTGGCGGCTGCATTCCTGTCTGGCAGGTAAATAAATGCCTTTAAACTAAATTCCATCTCCTGTAAGTAACTGGCCTGGCAGACACTGGCTATTGTGTACACACACAGGACTGAGTCAATATTTATCCCCTGGGTAAATAACAGACCTAGTGTGAGCTGCAACAAGAGTTTGGGTTTTTTTTTTTTTCCTTTTCTAAATATCAAAGCTGCACAATACAAACCCTGCTGTTTGCTGGTTCCAGCCTCAGCTGTTTAATGCTTTGAGTCTGGAAGAATGAGACATTTAGTCACCCTGATAATGTCTGTGTGACTAGCTTCCCACAGAAGCTGGGACCTGTTCTGGATTCTTCAGCCTCCTATCCTCTGGCTTTAGTTTCCTTGTCTTGTCCATTGCATGCTTTTGGATAGATATTTGAAGTCATTTTATATTGCTTGGTCCTCTCATAGATCCTTGGGCACCCAGACAGCATCACCACTGGGGACATGGAGATTAAGTTAGGGCATTTCAGCCAAATATTAAATCTTACTTTCTTCACTTTCCTCAGGCTCTGGTACATGTAATGTGCTAATTCAAGATGCAGACATCTTCCCGTTGCTGCCAGCTAAATAATTCCTCCTGGCAGTGCCAGCCCATCAACCACCATCAACCATGGCCTTGTTCTGTGGGCTCTCTGTGTGCCAGTGCACTCTCCTGGTTGAGGCAGAGGAGTCTTGCTGCTGTTTTACAACTTGAGGAAGAGCTAGAGAGACCTGGACCCTCAGAAGGCAGTGGCAGAGCAGCCTTAGCGTCCCTAAACAGATACAGTTAGAACAGGACAGTGTGTGTGAGGAAATGTGCCAGGGTTTCTGGATCCTGGAGCCTGACTTCACCTCGAGTGCTTCTTCACACGTTTGGCACTTTCAGGGAAATCACTCGTCCATCTGCTCTAGGCAGCCTCCACCTTCCCCCAGTCTTGCCACACAAAACTAGCTCTTTTCTGTAGTTTAAAAAAAAAAGCCATTTTATTTAAGGAATTGAATAAAGGAACCTGCAATTACACGGTTGTGGTTGCCCTTTTCTCCCCTATCACAGGAGTAAAGGAGCAGGTCTCTGCCCTCTTCTCCACCTCAGTTAATGGTCCCTCTGCCCATAGCTTTCCCTTGCTCCAGATTTGTTGTCGTGTTTCTTGTAATCATTCTTATCTAGGAAAAAAAAATCCTAGAATATTTTTCCTCCATTCTTCAAAATCCTCCTTAGAATACAGGAACTCTTTAGCACTAGGTCCACTAGGACCACTGGACACAGCGTAGCCTTATCAGACTCAGTGTTATTCATAGGCTTTGGCCCAGTTCTGACTTTGAAGCTTATCAGTCACACTGATAAGAGAATGCAAAGATGTAGCACTGGAAACTCAGGCTCTAACTGTGTGAAGACCAGCCCATTATGGTTTGGGGAGAAGGGATTGATTTTTTTTTTGTTTGTTTTTTGTTTTTTTTTTGTTTTTCCACCAAGGAAGAGGCCAGCTCGGTGGTGGAAAGCCAGCAAGGACAGCAGGCCTGCTGCTGCTTTGGGCTTTGGATGTTTCTGGCTTAGAGATGTTTGCCTCCCTCTGTCAGAGAGATGCTGCTCCTTTCCTTTCTCTGATGGTCCCTCATTGCAAAAGGAGAAAAGTGCCAGTGGGTTTGTAAGATTCCTACTTACATCAAGTTATGTTACTGAATAGCTGCAGCAGTGCTAGTTATCAGTGATTTTTGCTTGCAGTCCTTTCAATGAAATTAATATTTATATATTTGTAACTGTACATTATGCAGAGTAATCATTACCATGGTATTTATTTTAAAGCAATAGTTCCCTTGTTCTTTCTTGTCCAAGTGTTTTGGTCTTCCCTCTTTCCCCTCTTCTTAATCAGCCTCAGTAGAAAACAAATACCAGAATAATATTCAGCTTGCTTGAAGAACATCATCGAAACAACGGCACTTGCTTTGCTGATGTCAATTACTGACATTTAATGCACAATAACCTGGGTTTCATTATTGTGAATAGATCATCTATTTAGAAAACCTCAACTCAGTTTGGGTTTTGGGGTTGGGTTTGGGGTTTTTTTAGTACTTGCTATTTCTGACTGGCAATAGCCCTGGCTACACCAGGTCTCCTGTGGTCAGTGGCGGGCACGTCCTCTGCACGTGCAGTACTGCACCCACAGGGGATAGGCTCTAGTTTTTCACCTGCATTTCATCCCTGCATATACATGTACACGCAAACAGTTCTATGACCATTTTTATTTTGTTCACACAAATCTTAGCAAGTCTGAGTCCAGAAAAGGGTTTGTTTTAGATTCTGATAAATATTTTATTAAAAACTGATTTTAAGACAATTTTGTCTGCCTCTTCTTATTCACATTGTAGGCTGGTAAGTTTGATCATAGGTTTATGTCATGTCTGTACCAGTAAAACTAAAGAATTCAGGAACTCCAAGGAGGTTCATAGCTCATTTTCTACCTTGCTGCTTGCTGGAGTATGACCTAGTTGTGTCTGAGAGCTGAGCTGGCTGCCTTTTATCAACTTTGCAACAGGTTTTGATAAGGAACAATCTTGGTCACCTGTTTCATAGGAGACAGCTCTTGATTGTGTGCGACGTTACACAAAAGAAGTGTGGGGTTCTAGAGTGAGGGTTTTATCAGTTCCTTCTTTAATATTTCCTTTCAAGAGACATATTTAAAAAAAAAAAATCCATTAATACAATCTTTGCCCCAGAGAAATTATGGATGCCAAGGGTCATTTGCAAAATTAGGGATTAGTGAATGGGATTTTTACACCTGTGACCAACAATAGCCTGACATTACTATGGTGTTGCTTACTAATCAAGCCAAGAATGCGTTTGCTAGAAAAGCCAGTGCTCTGTGTTCTCTTGACAGAATATTTTATTTCAGGAGAGTACCTTTCATGTTGGTACCTCCTAGTACTTTTGAAACATTTAGAAATTCGGTTTTGCAAGTGCCTGTACTTTTTCAGTTTTAGGTGAAGGGAATATGCATTCAAGGACAGCAAGCAAGTCGGTAGCAGAAAAAGAAATGGAACACAAACAGCAATCAGTCTGCAAGATGCATTAGGAAAACCAGACCTAGGTATATTGGCAAGAGCATCCCTGGCAATATGGGACCAGATGAGGAGTTGCATGCAGTGTCCCAGGAACAGATCTATACGTATTCTGGACTCCACGCCTCTCAAAGAATCCTGTGGTCCAGGTTTATTCAGTTTTAATTATGCAGACAGGAGAAAGGACTTTGTCTCCAGGGAAATACTGCTGGCTGCTCTGGATGTAGCTTGTGGATTCTCAGTGTTGTCTTTATCTCATCCCCAATGTATTTTGTGAGTGCCTTGGGAGCAGGGAGCTGGCATGGAGGCTTACACCAGTGAATCTTTGGAACTTTTTGGAGGGAGCGTTTCCTTGGAGGTTTTTAGGGATGTGGAGTTTTGTTTTCTGTGACTGAAGAATCTCCTCCGCACCTTATCTCGGAAGTCTTCGGAAACATAGTAGTAGACAAAGGGATCAGCACAGCTGTTAAAGGTACTGATGGCCAGGCTCACCATGTAGCTGATATACAGGTTGCCGTACAGCTTGCAGTGATAGCTGGAGTAATGAACAAGGAGGAGAACGTTGCTGGGTGTGTAAAAGGCCACAAGTGTGAACAGCACAAGAGCCATGAGCTTCATAGAGTAGGAGTACCGCTTCCCACTGTCCAGGAGAGCTCGCAGTACTGAGCAGTAGCTGAACAGCATCACCACCAGAGGAGCGAGGAAAGCACAAGCGATCAGGCAGATGAAGTAGTAGAAGTAATACCCGTCGTCCTCGTGCCTGGGGAGAACATCGTGGCAGAGAGTGATGTCTGCTCCATACAGGGGATACGACTGCTGCTGCAGGGTCAGGGGCAGGGTGAGGACGGCAGCACAGAGCCAGATGGCGGTGCAGGTGCCGGCAGCAAAGGCAGGGGTGCGGAAAGAACGTGAAAAGAAAGGATGCACCACAGCCAGATAGCGGTCGACGCTGATGCATGTGAGCAGCAGCACTGAGCAGTACATGTTCCCGTAGAAGAAAGCTGTGGTGAGCCGGCACAGGCCTTCCCCAAAGGGCCAGTTGTTCCCCAGGAAATAGTACAAAATCTTGAAGGGCAGCACCAAGGTGAGCAGCAGGTCTGCTGCAGCCAAGTTCATCAGAAAGACAGTGGAGGTCAGCTTCTCAGCCCTGGTGGCCAGGACCCACAGAGCCAGCCCGTTTGAAGGCAGCCCCACCAGGAAGACGAGGGTGTAGAGGCAGGGGATGAGCCGCACTGTGACCATGCTGCCCAGCTGAGGGCGTGCGGCCTTGTGTATCAACAGGTACGTGATGTTGTTAATGGTTGTCTTTTCCCCAGGGATAGCTCTGGGACACAGTGTGGTCTCCAGTGTCGTTACCTGCTCGTTGGTGCCGTTCTGAGAGTAATCTGTCAATAAACGCGGTCTGTTACTTGCTGTTTGTGCAGTTACCCTTGTACTTTGCAGAGCTGCACACTTAACGCTTACCCCAAAGGCTACGGTTTTGCATTTTTTGTTGGGGTCCCTAGGAGCAGTATTCTGTAAAATGCTGTTGTGTGATGGGCACAAAAAGCTGGCTAACAGAATTAGGTGTACAGGAGTAACTGTCAGCAACATTACTGAAAACTTCCACGATTCCTCTGTTGTGTGGCTTCCCACAGCTCACAAATGATTGCGATGTTGTACAACTACCAGCAGGCCAGGGAAACCAGAGAGCAATTCCTCTGCCCAGCTTTCAAAAGAATCCTAAGATCTGAGGCCACGCCAGGGTAAAGTCCTGGCTGTGGATTCTAGCTTTTAGCTAAAGATTTTGGTTTCAAGTGCTCACTGTTTTACTTTTCCTCTAATATTTCTTTCTCTTTCTGGTTTCTTCCACCCCAGTGTTTCTCTTCCATGTCCCCTTCTACCACCTCCTGCTTCAACTAGAGCATGCACGAAGCTCCATTAGAGTGTGCTGCCATGCGACAGCTTTAAAAAATGGGTTTTCAGGGATCCTATAAATGTACCAAGTATCCAGTACTTGAAGAAGCAGCAATTTTTCACCCAGAGATACACACTCACCATCGTAGTCTGGAGAGGCCAGGCAGAGTCCCCAAAAGGCACAGCACAGCACGAGCCTATGTGACAGCCGTCCGCTCCCAAGGGTCTCCATTCTGGTGCAGGCTCCAATAGTGCACTGCTGTGCTCAGAGCTGTGTGGGAAAGGGCAGTGTTAGCGACACTGCTTACGCACTTCCTTCTGCTAGTCCTTAACTCACGGAAGCACCAGGCTTATCCCGTGAAGGATGAGGCATATGGGGGGCTGTCACGACAAGCACGACTGTGTGGTGGCCAAGCAGAGACTTAGCTCCAGTGTCAGACACAGGACTGGGAGGGGCATACGTGTCAAGATCCACAGTGTACTGGGGCTGTGCTTCATCGTCAGAGCTAGATGATGGCTGGAGTGACTCATTTGGGCCTCCTTCCTGCTCCAGAGTATTCCTAGAAATAACAAGTATGGTCAGATTTTATGCAGTTTGAATTTGGTTTAGAGTGTAAACTGAACTTGTGACCTCCTGTGTCAAGCATCCTTCCACCCAAGAGAGACCCAAGTGGCTCTGTGTGAGATTCAAGGTCTTTCCCCACACCCTGATTCAATGTTTTCTGGCAGTGCAAATGGAGAAGATATCATCCCCTCGCAGAAACATAAATGAAGTGCAGGAGAGCTGCAGATCCGGAGTCACCTCCCCAGCTCCCAGGGATTACACAGGGATCTTGCAGCCTCTCCTTGCGGCAGTTAAGGGCTTTTTAGTGTCTGCCTTGTAGTCCCTGGATCAGGCTGGGCCTTTCAGAGTTCTCTTGTTTCTTTATTTCTGCTTCTGCTCCCTGGCTAAACAGGGGACAAAGCTCCTGCACCTTCCTTCTTGATGTGACTGCAGAGGTTGTTCAAAGGTCCTATGGCTCAGAGCTATTTGCGTTTGAAAGAATCAGCACTAGCACCAGCCTGGAGTGCCATAACATACAAATGGTAAGTGGCAAGGTCTCACAGCTTGGAGGAGACACTGTGCTTCCGCTGATAAACTACCAGGAAAAGAGAGAGCAGCTCCATCCAAGCAGGAAAGGGGCCTGACAAGGGTGCACAGGAAACCTCTGCTGTTGGGTAGATAATGGCGAATTTCAGTCACTCTTGCCCAAGAAGAGCTGTGTTTTTCCAGAGATGTGCAGTCTCCCCCCAGTAAACCCCCAAGAGGGTTGAGCACTCTGCGTTTGCTAACAGCTCGGAGCAGTGGCATGCTGCAGCCGTGTACCTGCTGGTTCTATGGACAAGACGACACACATAATGTTGTAAGAGGGATTGGCAGACATTACCTGAACCTTTGAGATCCCTTGCTGCTTGGTGCCCCCTTCTCTACCTCCTTGAGAGCTTAAGTCCCTTCCATGCTCTGCCTTGCACAGCATTGCTGGGAAAGTCCCAAATCCTCTCCCACCGCCTCTGCAAGAGCCCCAGTGTCACCACTTCCCAGTGGTCCTCAAGTGGATAGGCCAGCGGGGCAGGAGGTCACAGCTTCAGAGGCTGCTGGTTTTTAGGCTTTTGCTTTTGCTCTCGGGTCCTCTGCCTGGCTCTGCGAGGGAGTAAAGACAGAAGCTGGAGTCCGGGCAGTAGGAACTGTAAATTTGGTTTGGCAACCCGAGGAGTAGTTCATTTCTTTCTCCTCCGCTTATGAATGGCCTCTTCTGTGAAGGTTGCAAATCTGAGCCTAGCTGCTGTTTGATGAGATTCTTCTATTCCAAGGAGAAAATGATCCTATTTCCTTTGCTTTCACCATATTCCCACATCCTTGTGCCGAGCGTGTCGAGAGGTGGAGTTCCACTGGCAGGGACAGGGAAGATGCAATGTTAGATGTTTTGCTTTTGTGATTCTCTCAGGATTTATGAACCATTACAGAATGACTCATGTGGCCACATATTTTCCATGCCTCAGCCAGGATCCTTTCCATGCTCTGTATGCAAAAAATTAGGCATAATCAGGTTCAGATAGTGTGCAAATCGCAGCCCTGCTTCCTATGGCCAGGTCTCTGGAGTGGAGCAGAGAGAGGTTACTCATTGCTGTATCCTTCATTTTTCAGATGCTGTGTGATCTTTAGTGACTGCTTTAGATGCAGAACAGCTTGCTTGAAAATTCTAATGCCAGAGGTTTGTCACGGCTTGTTAACATCTCTTCAAGTCGTGTGATCCCTGCCCTGTGGGGTAACAATTTAGTTTTGAAGTAATTCATTGTGCAATAGATCATCTCCTGGGAGAAGGCGCCCTTTTATTCCATGGCTCTGAACCCAAAAGATGTAATGCTGGAAAGCAGGCTAGGGATTTTAAAGCTCAGAGGGAGGGTACAAACAGCACCTGGCCTGTCCCATACATTTTTAAGGCTTGGAAGAGCAAACTTTGGTAGGCAAATAATGGGGCTTGCTATTTCTGCTCCAGAGAGTTCTTCAGCTGCAAGCCAGCAGGTGTGAAGACCGAAAGGTTAGGGCAGCTAATACCTGCCCCAGGCTGAGCTCGCATATGCGATGCAGACACAAGAGGCAGCTGACCATGGAGGCAGCTGACCATGGAGGCAGCAGCTCTGCCTTAGCGCCAGCAGCATGAAGCATTTCCACCAGTGTCAGCACAACCTCACATTTTCCATGAATGCAATGCTGGCCCTGCCTTTCCCAGCTGCCGGGCGTGCAAGCGTCTGAGCCTTCTCAGAACCACAAGGCACAGAAAACTTCCACTGACTATTGAAATAGAAACGATGGTCCTTTGAACCAGGATCTCCCCACCCCAGATTTGTCTTTGCAGGCTCTGGCACGTACAAGATGACCTCATGCCTTGGGCGTTCTTCCTGACTTTGCCAACCCACCAGCTCCCCTTCCTCTTGCTTTGTCAGGTCTCTCGCCATCACCCTGAGACTCTCCACAGCTCCAGGGCATCTCCCTGCCTCTCCTCTTCTGCTTGTTCCACAGTTCTCCTGTTCCACTGGGATCCCACCCAATCTTTTCCCTTGGTTATGCCACACCTTTTGTGCTCACATTCTCCTCACCGCTTGTAAGCCTTATGCTGGTGTTCATACTTCTGGGGAGACAGGGTTGTGGTTTTTTTCAGAACTAGCCTTCTGCTTGCTTGGATTTTCACTTCAGAGTGTAGGAAGTCCACATGAAGCCATTTTTCAGGAATATTTGAGGGTTATTAGCATCCCTACAACTCACTAGGTGTTCTGGAATAGATACTTTTGGTCCTTTCTCAGCAAGAAAATGATGCTTGGGGTAGGGGCTGCCTTGCCTGATACAGACAACATCCCTTCTCAGCACTGGCTCTCAGATGATTCTTTTTGGACTCATCCTTTAGCACAGGTGTGGTTTAGAATTGCTAGACTTTAATTTAGTCTTTAAGGTTAATTTTGATGAGTGGAAGGTACTTCTGGTTTCATTAAGGTTGAGTTACTCAGTTCTAATGCAAGGGAGTGGCTAAGGCATGAAGAAAAACTCAACTCATGTTTTCACAGGTGATTCCAGACCGGTTCGCAGCCCCGTCTTTCTCTCTGTGCATCACTGTGATACCAAAACAGGTTAAAAAAACCCAACCCCTGTAACACTAAATACTGAACTCAGGTACTCCTGTTAGCAATTCTTAATTTAATTTCAAAACCCAGTAATTCTTATTCCATTCTACAAACCTGAAAGATATTTTTAAGCTGTCTTTGTCGTTGCCACACAACGTCCACTTGCCGAGATCTCCAACTGCTCTTGGGTGATGTCAGATCTGGCCGTCCCTCCCCGTGAGCACAGGGAATGTCCTCTTTGTGCAAAGTCCAAGATCTCTGCGAGGAGACTTGCATAAAGTGGACTGAGTTCCTCTGAGACACCACTACCATCATTTTAATCAAATTATTCCATGCAACTTATGCATCAGAGGATTGTTATTAGGAGAACAACAGTTTGTTTCCCTGTGAGCAAGTCACACGCTGCACAGAAAGCAGAGTTGCCTTTTGTTATGGCAACGGAAGTGTTGAAAATGATGTAAAGGAAACTGCTATCAGATCTGGGTCACATCACTACAACTTAATTTGCAAAATCTACACATTCATTTGTTGTGCAGAGCTCACAGGGAACACAGTTAAACATGTTATTACCCAGGAATTCGGGGAGGTTGAGGGAAAGGCGGGTGGAGGGTTATTTTCATGGTTGCAGTTGTATTGGCTTAACCTGTAGCAGATGTGCTTAGAGATTTCGGAACTGGAATCAGTCACTTCCCTTGAATGCCTGCTGTATTTAGCGTGTGAGTACTTGGGGGCCAGGCCTGGACTATATTTTTGCACCACACCTCTTGTAGCAAAAGGTACTGCTAGAAATAAACCGATCTGCAAAAAAGCTGTGCTTTGCTGGCACTACACGCTTTTTTGTGACACCTGTCCCCGCGTGGAGCAACTGTGCCACCCCATGGACTCCCCTGCTCTCCTCCAGCCACAGCCCTTTGCTCTGAGAGGCCTTGGCAGCAGGCACGCAAGTACAGAGCCACGGGCACTACCACTGCACGCTGCTTGCCGGAAATGTCTTTCCCTTTTACGTTAGCTAGGGCACTAGCTTACACATGCTTACTGCCCACTAACTTCTCAGAGCAGGCAAGGTTAAAGATTTGCTGCCTGCTGGCCCCCTGGAAGCGAGTCGGCACTCATCTGAATCATTACGTCCTGCAGCCTGTCCTGCAGCTGCTTGAAGAGAAGTTCATCCAACTTTCCAACTGCATTTTTCTACCATTTCAAATTCAGTTTCAGGTGTGAGAAAATCAATTCCGGGGATTGTCAGAAAGTTTAAATTAATTTAAAACAAATTTAAACCAGTGAGAGCTGCAGACTTTTAAAATCAGTATTTTATTTTACTTGAATGTGCAAATAAATATAAAAAAAAAACTACATTCAAAGAGCTGGCAAAGCAATTACAAGCCCAAAAGCAAAGATCCTTCAAAAAAATGGAAGAACAAACTCTTGAATCAAGGTCGCGCTAGCAGATACACAGCGGTCGAGCTTAAACTCTCAGACATTAGCAAGCCACTCTCAAACCTGCACTGCCCGCTTATTCCATTCACATAATTTGCTACTCTCATTTCTGAGACAATAGCACTGTAAAGGGCAAAAGTCTCACTTAATCTGATCAGATTATAAATTAAGGTTTACAAAATAAGGATGCTTAAAAATACCTGAAGTACACTTAAAATGGGGAGATGGAACAGGATGTTACCCTCCTACACCCTGGTATGCTTGGAATCAAATGCATTTTAAGCCACAAGTTGCAACCTATTTTCTAGTAAACATTTTTCTGTATCATAAAACCATAAAATTTGGCACAGTTGTCATCTCCACTGCAAGACAGCAGAGAGGTGAACAGGACTGAGGTGCATTTTGTTGAGCTGTCTGGAAGCAAAAGGGGGACGCTGTGCTTTGCACTGGGCTTGTCCCCCCGCCCCTCCACCCAGCCCTCACGTAGCTACACAGTCAGCATCTTTATCACTTACTGCAAGAAGAGCAGGGGAAGAACCTTCACATCATTTCGGTAACCAAAATTTAACAGGGACACAGACACCTAGAACGTGAGTTCTTGATGAAAAGTTCTCTGCTGGCAGTGGTTGTGCAAGTGGCCACAAATGCCAGAGACTGGCCTCCCTCCTTCCCTCCTACAGATTATTTTTGCAAAAAAGACAAAGAGTCAGTACAGTTTTCTATTAAACGTACCCCAAAGGCCAATTTTTCTACTGTCAAGTGAGACAATTGCAAAACCAAATGTTGTACAGTGGAAATAACCCAGGACAAATCCTACAGGCTGCTACTTAGGTCTGGCAGAAATTATAACCGAAAAATCAAAGCCACAGAAAATATCGGGGTGGGGAGCTGATTTCTCCAAAAGCCAGGAAAAAAAGTTGGAAGCAGAGCTGAAAGGAGGCTGGGCCTGCCTCAAGACATGATGTCTGTAATATACTCCATGGACAGTGTGCTTGCCCTTGGCCCCTGAAAAACAAGAGCGAAGTCACAGTGGGGCTGCAGGACAGACACAACTACATTTTCTTGATTTTTCAATAGATTAAGTCAGACAATTGACGACGTAGTGTTCTGCATGGTTCGTGGTAGGTTTTTTTGTTAGGTTTCATTGCTTAGAAGAAGCTTAGATAAGAAGTACAGACGGTTCAGTGGACAAGCCTGTCGACGACGGTTGTGGCTGGATTTAACACTGCCCATTACAGATTTCCATGTGTCACTGCAAATACAGCATCTGTGCTGACCCAGCAGAAAGAGCAAAGTATCTGGGACAAACCTCAGATCCAGTGCAAACACTGTGCTGCGAGAGCTCCATCTACTGATGTTGCTGAAGTGGTACAACCCAGCGGAACCACGGAGTCCGGGCATGCACAAGGAAAGCGAAGCGCCTGAGGACGCAGTCTCCAGAGGCTGCCAATTAACATGCAAAATACGGAGAAAAAAAAAAAAAAAAAAAAAAGAAAATAGGCCAGACCTCGCAATGGATATTCCTCCCCACGCACACGCTCCAAGCAGCTCCAGATCTGAGAAGGCAGAGTCTGCAGCAGGTCATTAAGTTCACAAAGCAACAACACGGGATCCGGTGCACATCTGCAGAGGGATAGCTGACGGCCTAGGCTGTCTTGCACCGCAAAATGCTCTCTTGCCTAGCACTGCAGCTCAGAGAGCTTCTTCCCCTTAGTTCATGCTCCAAAATACTTAGTTGACGAGTGAGAGTCAGAGCGTTCAATACGCCATTCACCCTTCTTTCAGTTTTGGCATTTTTCTCACCAGAGCACCAGTAACAAATACTGCATTCGTTGCCTTATTAGCACACACAGACAATGAAGCAGCCCAGAGCGGGGCTAACAATCTGTGCCAGGTGCTCTCAGTCCTGCTGGCACTCGGAAGTTTC